AACAGCTCTTGTCCTCACCAGCCGGGCACCTTGATCAGAGATCAGAGTGGGACAGGGCGGCTGTGACCCTTCCATCCCGGCCTGGCTCTGCTCACTCCAGCAAGGCAGGATCTGACCTGTGCAGCTCCTACAGCTCTCCCCATATCCCCCGAGACCACCCTCCCTGCCCAAACCACAGGAGACACTTTGCAGCAGTTCGCTCCTCTGGAAGGATGGCTCTGGGGGCCATGGAGCACCAGGAGTGAGGGTGTCTGGTGTCGGGGAACAGCGACGGGGATGGGTTTTCTGCTGGCAGATGCCAGCCCTCACCTGGGTACGGCACTCGGCCCTTGGTGGTCAGCTCGGTCAAGAGGATGCCGAAGGACCAGACGTCCGACTTGATGGTAAACCTGCCATACAGAGCAGCTTCGGGGGCCGTCCACTTGATGGGGAACTTTGCGCCTGGATGGAGAAGCAGGGTGAGGGACTGTTCCCAGCCCTGCGATACGCCAGGGGACCTCCAGGACCCCCTCACAGCCAGGGCCATGTGCTGGCTTGAGATGCAACGTGCATCCCTAGGGACCGGGGACTGCAGAGTGGCCATTGCTCCGGTGCCACCAGCCCTGGGCACGCACCTTGCCGCGCGGTGTACTCATTGTCCTCGATGAGGCGTGCCAAGCCAAAATCAGCCACTTTGCACACCAGGTTCTCCCCCACGAGGATGTTGGCTGCCCGGAGGTCTCGGTGGACGTAGTTCATCCTCTCCACGTAGGCCATGCCAGATGCGATCTGTGGGGACCAGGATAAATGGCATCAAGATTAATGGGGAGACACAAGGGTCCCCAGGGAGCATCTGGCACCCCAGGGGGGATGGCCCTGCAGCAGGACCCAACCTGGGGTGTGGGAGCAGGGGGTTGCTAAAGAAAACCCCCACAGACACAGGTTTGCTGGCCAGAGAGAGCCAGCAGCATTGGGAACAGGCAAAATGACGGTCCCTGACTTGCAACCCAGCTCTGGACTGAGTGCCCAGCGGGGATGGCAGCACCCAAGTCACACTAAGCAAGGCTGCAGAGCACCTCATCACACAACAGGCAACGGCCACGACAGCCCAGCAAGGTGTTTGGGCAGCCAGCGCCCTTGGAGGGGAATGTGGGAGGCCCGGGGATGCACAAACCCACCTGAGCCGCCATATCCACCAGCTGGGGCAGCCGCAGGTACTTGCCCATCTCGCCCTTCAGGAAGTCTAGGAGGCTCCCTGCAAGGAAAACCATGGTCACAGCAATCCAGAAGAGTACAGCCCCCATGGCTGCCCCCCAGTATCCCTCCTGCGCTCACCTTTGCTCATGTACTCAGTGACGATATAAATGGGCTCCTCCGAAACCACAGCGTAGAGCTGAACCAGCTTCTCATGTCGGAGCTTCTTCATGACCTGGGCTTCCTGCAGGAAGGCCTCCGGGGACATGGTGCCAGGCTTCAGTGTCTTGATCGCCACCCGGGTGGTGCCGTTCCAGGTTCCTGCAGCACAGGACACACCGCTCAGGACATATTTATGGGGCAGGGGGCCGTGTCCCTTTCCTGCTTCTCCCACCCCACTGCAGGGTCTGGACACCTGCAGATGGCTGGGGGTGGGTGCAGGTGGTGACATGGGGGGACAGCGGTGTGGGAATGGTCCTTACCCATCCACACCTCGCCGAAGCAGCCCTGTCCCAGCTTGACCTCCAGCCGCAGCGATTCCCGGGGTATCTCCCAGGCATCCTTGGCAAGGCCTTGGGTCTGGGGCTTGGACGTGGGGCAAACGTTGGTGAGACGGTGGCACAAGCCATCGGCATGTTCTACCACAGGAGGGGACAACACCAGGATGACACTTCAGCATTCAGGCACATGATCTCTTTACCCCACATCTTCCCCACAAAACACCTCGGGAACCCATACCCAAATCCTCACTCTCTTCCCTAAAAGCACCAGACCCCAAGAGACCTCAAGTGGCTACCCACTGGAGTAATAGGCCACCAGCTGCTGCAGGCTGTTGAATTGGGTGCGGGAGGTGATGTAGAAGCCGCCACTGTCCCGCTTGCGGATCTTGTAGTGCTTCACGTTTAGCCCCTTGGCGTTGTCGAAGTCAGAGACGGAGAGGCAGTACGCACCTGCAGGCAGGACCGAGAGACTGAGGGGGGATGCGCTGCACACAAGTGCTCCCCAAGGGGTCCCACTGGGGGTGGGCACCGGGGAGTAGGATTGGGCATGCAGGCTGCTGCTTTCATCCAAAAGCAGAGGAAGAGGAGCAGCTCTTGGCTCCACAAGGGAGGGATGGCGCATCTCCCAGCTACAGCCACACCATGCAATCACAGCCTCAGCTGCTCCTGTTCACGTGGCAGCTCTGCCAGGTCAAAAAACCCTGTAGCAAAGGGGGGATTCTGAAGCAGCAGCAGAGTATGGGATGGGGGGCAGGCTGGGGGGAGCTGCTGACCCACAGCCCCAACATCTCAGCATCTCAAAGGGGAGCCAAGGGGCTGGGGACTCCAATTCCAGCCTCCACAAATCCCATTGTGGGCATCGCTTCAGGCCCTTGTCTCTGCTCTGCCCATGTGAGAGCAACACCGTGCTGCTGAGAACTCAAAAAATGAAAGGGAAGGTCTATGCTGCTGCTTGACTGAAATGTTTCCACTGGAACAAATAAATAGTGGCAAGTTCAGGGCATCAAAACAGAAAGGAACATCATGGAGCTTTTCCCAAAGGTGCATTTGGAGCTAAATTAAACCACATTTCCAGATAGGAAACAGCATCCTCAAGCAGCTGATCTGCAAAGATCACAACTCACGCTTTTGGGAGGCACAAAACAAGGGTAAAGAGTCATTAGACTTGAAAAAAGGATCTAAAAATCCACCACTGCCTCTGTCTGGTTGACCAGGAAGCCAAGATTTTGCCACTACATGGGATTAGGGAAAAACAAAATAATCTACTTGCAGGGTGAAAAAAAAAAACAGAACAGGAAAAAAGCATCCTGCCTGGTGGTCCTGGTGGTGGGGCAGCCAGCTCCCACCCTGCCATGAGCCGAACCACCTCTTGGAAGGGCAACAGCTGGACAGGCAGCATGGGAGAGAAGTGGTGTGATGGTGCTTTGGGCATAGAAATGTTCCCAGTGATTTAATGGGTGCATCAGCACCTGCTCCCTGGGGACCAGCACTGGCAGGGGAGATCCAGGATGCTCCCTGTGCCGAGGGGCATCGCTCACGGCCCCAAACACCGGCTCCTGTCTCCGAGCTGTGACACCTTTCCCCTTCTCCCTCCTCATGCACCTAAGTCGAGGGAACCGGAACAGTGTAACCGAGGGGACCGGGGTGTCTGCGTGGTTGCACCCCAACTCCCTAGAGAGGGAGTCCCCCCCAGGCTGGCTCCCCCCAGCCCTGCTCACCTTTCGTGGTTTCACTCTCCCGGACCAGGAAGGTCCCTCGGGGGTTTTCGGGGTTGAGCAGCAACCGCTCAGACTCCCTGCGAGTGATCTTCCCAAAATACCACCTGCAAGAGCAAGGCAGCAGCTCAGCACCCCCACACTCACCCCTGCCCTCCATTGCCTGTCCAAGCACCGGGCTCAGCCCCGGCCGCCCCAAATGAAGGTCTCTGGAGCCCCCCTGAAGCCCCCCAAGCTCTTGTTGGGGGGATGACATGCTGCTGGCTGGGGACATGGCTAGCACCTCCTGCTCTCGGACTGATGGCCAGCTTTGCCCCTGCCTGCTCTCCCTCCACACTCAGCCTGATCCACACAGGCAGAGCCGGCAGCATCCTCACGCACGGGTGCGTGTCCATGTGGAAAAGTAAAAACCAGACCAAAAGCACCAGGTCCACCACAGCCCCTGCTATGCCACTGCTCATCCCTCCACCGTGCAAGCACATCGCACCTCTCTGCACTTTACGGGCCTTAAAGAAAGGCTGGAAAACATCTAAGGGGTTTGCAAATTCAAAGGGGAAAAATAGTAAAAAGGAAAAAACCCGCAAATTTCGCCCAGAAGAGGGGCAGGGGGGAGTAATGCTCAGGGTGCATTTGCTATCGCTCGACTTTAAACTGTCTCAAAGATGGCAATTACTCTTCAGCCTGGATGGAGTCTGAGGGCGCGACATAGTTACTGGGGATGTAGCCCGTCTGTCCTGTAGTGAGGGAATGAGCCAGCCACCAGTCACCTTCCCTGCAAGAGAACCAAAACACACTCAGTGTGAAGCCAGGAGCCCCAGGCAGCCCCTCTTCCGCTCACAGGCCCCACGGCCAGGGGGGAGTGAACCAGTGCAGAGCCCTACAGGGAAGGGGTGCAGCCCCTGTACCCCCAGCCGGACCCCGGCCGGGAGGGCTCCTGCTGCCAGCCCTGCCCGTGGCTCTGTTTGGGCAAACTCGGGATATTGAGGCCACGCATCAACATCCAGGATGCTTTAAACTTAAATTGGGCAGGGCAGCCAGCAAGGCAAAATACCTTTGGAGCCACCTAAATGTGAACAGGGTCTGGCTGGAGGCTGGGGGGGCATTGAGGGCCCAAGGCAGCGGGGAGCGACAGACAAGGGGGAGGGAGGGGAAACAGGGAAAAGCAACAGAATGATGGCAGCGATTAAAAAAAGCAGCAGGAAAATCCCAGAGACAGCATCTGTTAAACACAGGCTGCGGAAAAGCAACGGGACAGGTTTGGGCAAGGGGGTGAGGCCTGCCCTACTGTGAAGTCCAGCACAGACACATCACCCGCAGCCCCCATGCTGTCCCCAGAAACCCAGGGCTGACCCTCTGTCCCTCTTGCCCTGGGCACAGGGGCCCCAAGAGCCTTCTCACTGCTCTGCCCTCCTCCCCGCAGGCTCCTGCACAGGACGGGGCAGGAAAGGACAATAAATAGAGAAGAACAACAGGACAGCGGGAGGCGCCTTCCCCTTCTCTGCAGGGCTTCTTCCAACCACCTGCCTGTCTTCTCGCCCATCAAAGACGGAGTCACCTAATTTATCCTGACCGTGAGGGAGACAAGGCTACAGGAAAACCACAGATCCGTGGGAAACCCACTGCAAGGATGCAAGGAGTCAGCAGGATGATCTCCACAAACACGTTACAGAAAAACCTTAATAACCTCAGTCACCACAGACGCATCAGACCACATCCAGATCCATCCCCAACCCCTGTAGATGTGTGAATCTCCATTCTTGCTCCACACACACCAGCACCTTGTGGCTTTTCCTTGTCACAGCATGAACAGCGATGCTACAAAGTGGCCAGGAGAAGCTGGACACAGCCCCTGACTCCCTGTGCTGGTGCCAGGAGGGCTGGGGAAAGCAGGGACCCTCCAGGCATGTCCTCCCAGCCAGAGAACCAGGCTCTGACACCCTCCCGAAGCCCATCCCCAGCCTTGCCGCAGTCCTAGACACCTTTTTAGCTCCTCCCGGCTCCAGCACATCTCGTGGCAAGTGGCTTGGAGTCCCCGGCCAGAGCAGCTGCCCCTGTCACGTTTACTGGGGTGGCTCTGGAGGGGACAGGAGGTTGCTTGGGCTCCTTTCCCACGAGATCAGAGAAAACAGCTGCTTGAGAAATACCCAGCTTTTGACTTGTGGCTTTATTCCAGCTTGGGCTGCAAGGCTGCAAGCTGGGAATTCAGCAAAAACAAACTATTCCAAAAATGTTTCAGTGGGGAAAGAAAATAATAATAATCATCATCATCAAAACAAAGCATTTCAACAACTCCCTGCACAATCTTACCCAAAATACCCCACCACACCCCTGCTGGCTGGGAGGAGACCTCCTCCCACTGGACATGGTACCACGAGAACCTTTCTGCACTGGAGAGGATGGATTTGGCCTGTACAGGAGGCCGAGGGTCACCACGGACAGACCGGACTTTGCTGGGACATGGGAGCAGGGAGGTGAGTGACGTGGAGGCTTCTCCTCTTGCCCTGTGCCACCCCAGCCCCGTCAGAGCAGCCAAAACCCACAGCCACCCTGTTACTGGTTGAACCTGTGACCAATGGGCTCCCACTGTGCCCAGGACCTTCCCAGGCTGATCCCAAGCACCCTCCCTGCAGCCCTGCCAGGGAGCCCAGGGGAAGGGGACATCGTGTGCCTGCCTTTTGCTGTCCCCAAAGTGCGGCAGCCAGAGCTCAGCAGGAAGAGAGATTTATCCCTCTGAGCACCGCACAAACTGCACAGCTTTCTCCACTGCCCTTCTCCCCGTGGACATCCCACCCACACAGCTGCATCATCACCGGGAGGTCCTGCATCCTTCAGCCCTTTTGCTCCCCAGGGTGCTGCAGAGCCCATCACACCCTGACACTTCTCATTGACTGAGCCTTTGACAATCAGCGCAGGAAGAGAGATTTATCCCTCTGAGCACCGCACAAACTGCACAGCTTTCTCCACTGCCCTTCTCCCCGTGGACATCCCACCCACACAGCTGCATCATCACCGGGAGGTCCTGCATCCTTCAGCCCTTTTGCTCCCCAGGGTGCTGCAGAGCCCATCACACCCTGACACTTCTCATTGACTGAGCCTTTGACAATCAGCAGCAGAGGAGAAGTATGAAAACCCCAGAAGTGATTTACGGCATAAAGAAAAAATCCTGATATATGGGCCCAATCTGGACCTCCAGGGGGCAGAGCTCACTTTGAAACAACCCAAACCAGACCCCAGGCCTGGGGGTCGTACGCTGATGAGGCTGTGAAAGCAAGAAGCAACAACTCCAAATTCAGGGTTTTCCTGCAGTGCTGAAGCCCTGCATATCCTGACTTCATGGATTAAATGAATCACCATTAATAAACAGCACTGGAACAATGAAAACAAGGTTCAGATTGAAAATGGGTTTGTGCAACACTGCCCGACCGTTGCAGGGGAAATACCCATCAAGTCAAAGGGTGGACGAAGGAATGTGACTGTGCTGTGTGTCAGGACAGGCCACACGTGGATTTAATACAGGATCGTGTTTAGGAGCATATTCTGGCTCATCACATTGCCCTGCTCCAGCAGCAAGCGATGGGTGTGCTGCTATGATCAGGATGGAGAGCAAACGAGCAGGAGCCAGACCCCTAAGGAAGCACTTGAGTCCCCTGAACCACTCAAAAAATAAAAATAAAGTTAAAAATGCAAACATAAATGCAAAAAAAGGCCATGAGGGAGCAGAAAGCCAACTGAAAAGGGACTGCAGAGGGATGCCAGGTGCAGACAAGAAAAATGGGCTAGGTTCAGAGTTCCTGGGTAGAGAGACAGCTCTGGATGGAGCTGTTCCTCAGCTTGGAAGGGGCTCCCTGCTCTGCCCAGGGAGAAGAAACCCAACTCACCACAAAACCATCCATCAGGCAACCATCTCTTCCCAGCCCTGCTTCACCCAACCTTGCCCTAACATGGGCAGCAGAAGGGCTTTTATCATTTGAGATCACCAACAACAATAATAGTTATAATCTGCATACACACCTGACGTCCACTTTTCTCCTGAACGACAGCGTGGCACAGAGGAGAGAAAAAACCAGTCAAGAGAGAAGCTGAGATCAGAGACACTGTGCAAGCTCAGGGAAAGCACCCGTGAAGATAAGATGTGTCCAGGCAAATGAGAGAGAGCTCGGCGCTGATGGGGACAGGGGACTGTTGAGGACACAGCCCCACGTTGGAGGGCACTAACTGGGCAGCAAGCAGAGGAGGGGTGGCTTGGTGACAAGGCTGCAAGGCAACAGTGATCAGCAACAGGGCCGGGAGGATGCAGGAGCAGCCAAATGATCGCCTCCAGCATCGGTGTCCTCAGACAAGTCACCGTGTCCATGTGCATCTTGGCAGAGCAGTTTCAAGGGCGGCATCAGTGATGATCAGGCAGGGATCATCTGGAGCACCCCTTCTCAAGCACTCATCTCCAGGGAAAGCTGGGCATGGGGCTCTGTGGGATGGGTGAATGTGGCAGCTCACCCCCACGGGCACAGTTGGGCTGCAGGGGCAGGGACACTCACGTGTTGTTGACGATTTGCAGACGCTCTCCTTTCTTGAAGGACAAGTCTGTTTCGGTCCGGGACTCATAGTCATAGAGGGCCACAAAGGTGGTAACTCCACCTGCAACAGAGAGCACTAAGGACAGGCACAGCCTCCTCTCCCCCCCATCCTCCCACTGGCCACTAAGACCCAGATCTGCTCCCCCCAACAGCTGCCAGACAGAGTCCCTCAAAACCAGGAGACCCCATCATCACAAAAAGAAGCTGGAACCAAAGCCACGAAGACCCTACTGAGCCCCCCTCCGCCCCACCAAGCCCCGGCCCACACTGACCAGCCAGAGCCCCAGCACGCTGCGGCGAGGTGACCGTGTCAGAGGTGTTGAACCCTCCAAAGAGCTTGGACTCTGCGGCTGTGGACCCGAAGGAGCGGCTGGGGGTGCGATGGGCGTCGGGGGCAGCTGCCTTGCTGGGGGTCTGTGAGGCTGGGTATCCCCCGTGGTGGGCATTTTCGGTGGGCTCCAGGCTGCGCCGGCGCTGGCTGGGGTCTTTGGGCTTGCTCTTGCTGCTCCCCATGGTCCCAGGCTGGAGAAGACAGAGAGGCATGCACAGAACTTCTAGCATTATTATTATTATTATTAGTAGTAGTAGTAGTAGTAGTAGTAGTATTAAGCAGCTTCCCAGGGCTTGCGTGACAGACGTCTGCCCACTAGGAAACAAAACAAACTCCAGAGTCTGTTCAAGCATCAGCTGGCTGAAAGTCTGGCCATGCTGCCCTTGCCCTGGGACAGCATCGCCCCTCATTAATGCCGAGCCACCTCCTGCCTGGCCGCAGCAGCCAGCGAAATGCCGGGAGCGGAGGGAAGCAGAGGGAAGCATGCTCAGCCATGGGATTGCAGGGTGAGGATGCTGAGTGCAGAGCCTGGATCGGTGCTTGGGAGCGCAGTTGCTCTATGGCCAGGTGCCTGTCGTGGGGTGTAGCTCAGCACTCTACACAGCCACGTTTCCTCCTACATGAGGGTTCCTACCAGACCAAATATTCACGAGTTTGGATTACTCTGCTGGCAGAAATCTGGAGAGCCCAGAGCATTACTCTCCTTGCTCAGGATTTAAATGCTGAGGATGTTCCCGTGAAGTCCAAAACATGCAGCAAACGGGATAAAAGTTTAAATCAGGAGCAGTCTCAGGCAGTTTGCAGCTAAAAACCAAGGGATCTCAGCTTTATATATAGTCAAGCCTTCCTTTCCACTCAAGATCACGCTCTATAAATACCTTCAAGGTAATGATATAAATGAAGGAAGGGAATTATTCAAAGTCTCCAAAGATGGCAGGATACCCAGCAGTGTCCTGAAGCTATGGAAGGAAATATTTAGGCAGATCACACATAGCAAGAGGAAAAAGGGAGGTGGAAACAACCAGGGAGAATATCTCTGATAGGAAAAAATAAGCAGGGAAGGAGCAGAGGAGGCAGCTGCTGCCTGTGGACCTGGATGCAGCCGAGGGCTCAGCCTCACCCAACAGGATCAAATCCTGCCAGGGTTTGGGAACTGGAATAAACTGATTTTTCGTGCTGGGTACAGCTATGGCAGCCACTCCAGCAAGGAGCAGAGGCGTCCTTCCTCCTACGTGTGCAGGCAATGAGGAGGGCCTGATGCCTCTATGTGCCACAGAACTCGGCCCACGCTTATCTGTGCTGGGCTTTGGGGGCCTTGGAGCAAAGGAAGGTCAAATGTAAGGTTTGCACTTGCAAATTGTCACTGATAACAGCCTGGAGGCAGAGCCCACAGCGAAGGTCTACCCTGTAAATAAATGTGCTTTCAAAACCCTGGTGCACAAGATGCTAAAGTAGAACTGTGGGGGAAAGCAGGACCTTAGAAATGAGGAGAAAAAGCCCCCACCGCTAAGGCAAGCAAAACTCCCTGTCCCCCGGCCAGCCCTTTGCTCACCTCCGGCCCGGGCTCCAGCACTCCCGCGATGGCAGCGGCAGCAAGGGGAGGAAAGCAGGGGCATGGCAGGGCTGTGACCACACTGCTTGTGACTGCCCACGCGACCGTGAGCAAGGGCGCAGCCACTCAGAGTTTCCCCTGGAAGCGGCACTTCCCCAGGGAGGAAAACACCGCGGCTGGGGTGGCAGATTTGGCAGCACTTTGGGGACACAAGCCTCCTCTGAGCACACCCTGTGGGACTGCCAGCCTGGCCAACCTGGGTCAGCAACTGATTTATCAGCACACTGAGAAAAAACAGGGTATGAAACAGGCAAAATGTCTAGAGATTGGCCAGGAGCAGAGCCAGGAAGGGGAGACTGGATCCCCCAGCAAAGCAGCGAGCCCCACTCCATGCTCTCCTGTTGCAAATGCCTTTGCACCTGAACACCTGTACGCAGTAGCTTTGATTTGGCTAGTGCAAAACATAGGCTGGCAACCCCAAAAGGTGTCTGGGGTGCTGGCAGCCTCACACCATTCCCACTCCAGGTAACTCAGCAACACCGTGCAGCTTTAGCCCTGTGGTCACCCTAGGGGGGAATATGCCCCACTCACCCCCTGGGAGGAGAGCGGGGGGGTCTGAGAAATCCCCTGCAGCCCTCACATCGCAGCTGGTGAGGAAAGGGTGTAAATTCTCCTAGAAGGAGGTGGGTTGTTTGAGAGCCTGGCAGAGGAGTTATTAATGATGGCAGGAAAGTGCTGTGCACTCAGGTCCCCCAGGGAAGAGGGGTAACACAGCAGCGGGGGGGAGACCTCAGAGAGAGACTCCCTGCCTCTGGTACAGCCGATGATGAAAGCCCCCAGAGCCAAGGGGCAGAGAGGGAAGCAGGTGAACCCCCCAGTCATGGCAGCTCCCAGCACACCCCAGCAGCATCACTGGGAGCTGTGGGACAGCATCACAGCAGGCAGATTGTAAAAAATACCCACGGCCAGCAGCTATGCTGTATTTATGTCTAATGTACGGTATCTCTACATGTAACAGGCTGCAGGCATGCTCAGAGCTGCCAGCATCCAGCCAGGGCAGTCCATCTGATGCCCAGCAGAATACTTCCCTGCTCCCGTGCTTTTCGCAGCTGACATTGCTGGGATGAGGGGCTCAGCACCACTCCCCATCCCAGCTTTCGGCAGGGCTTCCCCTCTGAGGTTTGCACGGCAGTGGAGGGCTGGAGTGCAGCCAGCATTCCTGGTGCTAGGGAGGCAGCTCTCCTGCGGCGGGGATTAGCACCCCGGGCACGTCGCAGCCTGCAGGAACTACCCTGCTTTCCGCTCTGGGGGTCAGCACTGGCAGCAAATCACAAACCACTGCGGTGCTGAGCTGCGAGGCCTCAGCTCTGCCCCCACGGTGCCAGGGAAAACCAGGGGATGGGAAGGATGAAGGGAGGGTTTGGCCTTTTGCTCTTGCACCCAGTGCCCTACCCACCCACGTATGCTCAAGAGTCAGATTCGGCTTTTGCAGAGCAGCCAATACCCCAGATCTGATCACCCACAAGAAGTGGGGAGGTTTCCTTTTTCCCAGATGGGTTCATTCAGCAAAGCAGCCTGGTCCCTCCCTCCCCAGGCTGTTGGAGATGCCTTACCAGTGCTTTCCGGCTACCGCCTTGCTGTGGGGTGGGGAGGTGCCGCCAGCAAAGTCAGTTCAGCTCCTGCCGCAGCCTGCGAGACAGAGGGGATGTCAGCACCTGTGGCAGTCACTGCTGTCCCTGCACCCCGCCACCCTCTTGTCCCCACACCATGGTCCGGTGCCCAAGGCTGCTGCTGCCCTCCTCCTCCTCCTCTCCACCCCTCCAGCGCGGGGCCAGCAGCTCCCACCCACTCGCTCTGACCTCTCATGTGTGAAGAGGGGATGATTCTCTGCTCCACTTCACCAAACCCACCCAGGAATTGGAGAGGAGGCGGCTGGAGCCCCGAGCCATATCCCAGGGCGAGAGGGTAGTACAGGCACCCCCAGACCACGGACGGGTTTTTCAGGGGAGAAGTGAAGCCAGTTCCTCTGGACACACCAGCACTCCCAGCCCCACCACTTGGTCTCCAGAAAGCTGGGATCAGTGGCTGGAAGGGTCAGCCACCAACCAGGAACCTTATCCCCAGGGATGTGAGTCGCCTTCTCCATCCCCAACAGCGAAGACAGGTGCTACGGCACAAACCCTGTACAAGGTCTGGGAGCACCTCACACTGCTCCATCCCTGACTCAGCCAGAAAAGCACGTTGTAGCCAAATTTTTCAAAGGAGACAGTTTCCTGCTGCAAGTGTGCGTGATGGTGGGGGACACTCAGCAGCGGTGGCTCAGGGCAGAGCTTTGGGTCGAAAGCAGAGCAGGGCAGGGTCCCTCAGAGCCGGGGCAGTCACTTGCTTGGTTCTGACCCCCCCTCCAGACCCCAGATCCTGCAGGAATTGCCCCTTCTACCCCTGCTCCTACTGAAAAAGAAATCTCTCTCCAGCCAGCCCTGCTCACCTTGTGCTGGACAGAGGCTTCACTCACTGCCAAGGGGCTCCTGTTTGCCTGGCACAGAGGGGATTCACAGCACCCCCAGCCCTGAGCAGCATCCCAGTGGGCTCCCGTCTTGCTGCAAGGCTGGAGCCCAGGGTTTACATCTCATCCAAGGGGAACATCCCAGACGGATGGGGAGAGGGCGGGCAGGTTTGTGCTGCACTGCCACCCAACCCTGCTGGGAGCAAGCCTGGCAGCGAGACCAGTCCCAGCTTTCTGCCTCTCTTGAAGGGCCTTCAGCCACAAAGGAGCAGTGAAGAGAGGGCTTGCACAGAGACAGCAGCAAAGGAGAAAGAGCTGCTGCTCCACCAGCACCACCGGCTGTCATTGCTGCCCCAGATGCCCTGACCTGACCTGTGTATTACCCAGACCACGGCACGCAGCCCCATGCCACGCAGCCCCACGCCACGCACTCCAGGCTTGCTATGTTGCAAGATGGTGGAAACCACCAATCAGACCTCCATGGGGTCAGTGTAACACCGGGCAGCCGCCCTGTGTCCCTCTCACTGAGTGGGTGCCCGGGGCGGTGGCTGCCACGCCAAGGATGTGCCACACTGCAGGTTTATTTTGCCTCCCCTTTGCCCCCTGCTAATAAGTTTTGTCACTATTTTTAGTGCGTTTGATTAGGATAATAAGCAGCAGCTGATTGACAGCTCTTTAAGACTTTGAATGGTTTGTAATTTGTACTTGACTAATATTCGCTGGCAATAATTGCACAGTGGGGTGGGAGGTGGGGGAAGATGCAGTCTCAACTCCAGGCTGCAGCACATACAAATAAGGCTGCGCCGTGTACACACGTGGTGCCCGCGTCCCAGCCACCCACGCATGCTGTACCACGCTGTGCCACTTGGGCACACGCTGTGAGGCCACTGCCATGTTTAGACATAACAGGGCCAAAAACATCACCAGGGAACCCAAATACACCTCAGCCTGGGGTCAGCCATGCGCCAGCGAGGTGCAAAGTCCTCCGAAGGGGAAGGGACAGGTACCCGCACAGCTGCCAGGCGGATGGATGCGCTTGCATCCCTCACGCTCCCAGGTCTGGGTATTTGGTGGCTGAAAGCGGCTGCTACGGGGTCTGCATTTGGGGCCTTCCTGGCCCCCCACCC